ATGGAGTGCTGCATCAGATGACCTGGCCACAATCCCCCGACCTCAACCCAATTGAGATGGTTTGGGATGAGTCGGACGGCAGAGTGAAAGAAAAGCAGCCAACAAGTGCTAAGTATATGTGGGAACTCCTTCAAGACTGTTGGAAAAGCATTCCAGGTGAAGCTGGCTGAGAGAATGCCAAGATTGTGCAAAGCTGTCATCAAGGCAAAGGGTGGCTATTTGTAGAATCTCAAATATAAAATATATTTTGATTTGTTTAACACTTTTTTGGTTACTACATGATTCCATATGTGTTATTTCATAGTTCTGATGTCTTCACTATTATTCTACAATGTAGAAAATAGTAAAAAATTAAGAAAAACCCTTGAATGAGTAGGTGTGTCCAAACTTTTGACTGGTACTGTATATATATATATATATATATACTGTATATTCTAGACTCTGACATTGCTTGTTCTGATATGTCCTAATTTCTTATTTATTTGCTTGATCGTGGATTATGTGTGTATTGTTTTGTATTTCTAGGTATTACTGGACTGTTGGAGCTAGAAATACAAGCATTTCGCTGCATCTGCGATAACATCTGCAAATCTGTGTATACGACCAATAAACTGCAATTTTATTTTGATTTTGATATTCATGGAGGAAGATTGGGACAATACTCAGATGAAGACTGCCATCCGCTGGTACAAGCTTCTAATTACAACAGCCTTATGGACTTGTGTGAGGAGAGCAATAGAATGCAGGGGCCACAACAACAGGCCTGCCCTTTACTTAACCTAGGCCTACACAAGGCTTAATAAAATATTTTTACATTTCACAGTGGTGCCAACACAGGGTGGGTGAGAGTTGGTAGATCATAGGCTGTTGATCATTGGGAATTATTTTACTAAGGGTACTCTCGTCATTTTGGGGGTTTACTTGTATGTGAGTGATTTACGCAATATACATTTTTCAAAGTTACTCAAAACAATTACAATATGGTGTATTCTGTCTCTGCTCTATACTCTATACGCTATTGCACATCTAATGTTGGTGTTACCCATAAATCCCACCTTTGTTTCTCCCTCAACCAGTGATATATCTAGGGTTGCTTGAGAGGGTCAGAGATGTTGAGGAGTAGATTCAGTTGTAAGTGAACATTTAAGAACACAATACTATGCTTTCTTGAATACGTTCACAGATGGATCTAAGGACCCTAAAACAGGGAGAACAGGAGCAGCATTTAGTGTTCCTGAGTTTAAGGTGGCAGTGATGAAAAGAGCAACAGATAATTTATCTGGTTCCACAATGGAGTTGTTGGCCATACTACTGGCATTAAGACTGCTCTCAATTAACTGAATACGGCCATAAGCAAACAGGAAAACGCTCATCCAGAGGCGGCGTTCCTAGTGGCCGGGGACTTTAATGCAGGGAAACTTAAATCCGTTTTACCTCATTTCTACCAGCATGTTAAATGTACAACCAGAGGGAAAAAAACTTTACTCCACACACAGAGCTCTCCCTCACCCTGCATTTGGCAAATCTGGCCATCATTCTATCCTCCTGATTCCTGCTTACAAGCATAAACTAAAGCAGGAAGCACCAGTGACTCGGTCAATAAAAAAAGTGGTCAGATGAAGCAGATGCTAAGCTACAGGACTGTTTTGCTAGCACAGACTGGAATATGTTCCGGGATTCTTCCGATGGCATTGAGGAGTACACCACATAAGTCACTGGCTTCATCAATAAGTGCATCGATAATGTCGTCCCCACAGTGACTGTGCGTACATTCCCCAACTAGAAGCCATGGATTACAGGCAACATCCGCACTGAGTTAAAGGGTAGAGCTTCCGTTTTCAAGGAGCGGTACTCTAACCCGGAAGCTTATAAGAAATGCTGCTATGCCCTCTGACGAACCATCAAACAGGCAAAGCATCAATACAGGACTAAGATCGAATCGTACTACACTGGCTCCGACCCTCGTCGGATGTGGCAGGGCTTGCAAACTATTACAGACTACAAAGGGAAGCACAGCCGCGAGCTGCCCAGTGACACAAGCCTACCAGACGAGCTAAATTACTTCTATGCTCGCTTCGAGGTAAGTAACACTGGAACATGCATGAGAGCATCAGCTGTTCTGGACGACTGTGTGATCACGCTCTCCGTAGCCGATGTGAGTAAGACCTTTAAACAGGTCAACATTCACAAATCCGCAGGGCCAAACGGATTACCAGGACGTATGAATTTTGAGTCATATGAATGACTTCCATACCAAATCGCTCAGCTTATATAATGCACTTCCAATCTATTCTTATCTTACACAGTTGCTAACCATCATTGATTGTCACTCATCCACCACCATATCATGTGCCTCCTTGGTGTCGTGTGGCACCCTAGCCAGGCCATTCCATCACGCACCCATCCTAAGATTAGCAACAGTGGCCCCCAATCTATCTTGGCACACTGACCTTCTGTTACTCACTCGTGACACCACTAACACATGGCTTGTCCTTGTTCTCTGTCCACATACATACATCTTATGATCTCTCCATACGTTATTGAATGTTGTATCACAAATCATCATAACAATGACCTACTATGTTTAATTGTTACTAGATTAAATTAATCATGTAACAATTAACTCGTTAGGAATTTGGGGCACCACGGGAAAAGTTGTTTAACGAGTTACCGTTTCCCGAATTAACTCTAAAGATATCTAGATATCTCTTATCATTTAACAGTCATTTATTAATAATTTACCTCATAACAGTCTCATTCTGAAAGTCATAGGCTCTTTAAGTCTGCACAAACCCGGGTCTTACTGATCATTCCGTACCACACAAATTAATTTATTTATTTATTTACTAACTAATTATGATAACACAAGATACAAACACATACACGGTATAGGTAGGGATTAAAAACGGAATACAATGAAAACGGGTCCCTAGCGGACTAACTCGACATGACACTTGTTACAAAAGATGGCGAGTTAAAGAGAGAGAGAGAGAGAGAGAGAGAGAGAGAGAGAGAGAGAGAGAAAGAAAAACACTTGGATACACATGGACCTATTTTCATAGTAATCCTAATACTTTGCCCAGAACTGCCGCCCGTTTGGTAAGAAGTAATGCATGTATTTACGTGTTTGTCTTCGTCGTCTCTGTTGGACCCAGGCCTTCATGGGAAGGGTCGATTGGGCCTTCTCTTTTCGGATGGACTTTTAGATTTAAGGCTCAGATGTAAGGCTCAGATTGTCCACAAGAGGTCACAATGTCCTTCTTCTTAGTCGTCTGTTTACTTTCACGCGTTCTGGAAGTGGTCTTCTGAGGATGGCTAATCAGCCGTGTCAATGATCCCCTGTGGGGTGATGAGAGCAGTGTAGTAGACAATGGTTTGAAGAGAGTAACAGGATGGTCCCACTTAAATTCACCTTCTTAGATACAGTACTTAGAACAGCTACTCAGCCGTAACATTGATTGTTAGTGGAGGCAACTTTTTCGTCTTCACCTCATGTTGATTTTCAGGGTCGGGACCAATATGGACAACAGCTGCAGCTTGAGGTCTGTCTAGTCTGATCTGATAATTCTTATCTCAGTTTTTATGCACTCTGGTAAAGACGGGCGTTTCCGTCATACTGACACGCTCTCTGAGCTCCCTCGGCGTGGCTAGTTACGAGGCAAAAGTATTATTATCACTATAATTTCGTTAGAAAGCTAAAATCACATTCCTATCTTCACGAAAACATTGTCTTCCTCCTTGATATTTTCTACCCAAGGTAAAGGATGTAATCCTGATATACACAGTGTAAAAGCTCTTCAAGTCACAATGTTTTCATTATAATGCCTTTATACCATTTTTTATGTCATCACAAAATATAAATTAATTTTCCATATTCCATTTCTCATCATTCCCAACGTTTGGATGTTGAAATATATTGTCCCAATGTTCATTGTTGGATTTTGAAGTTTTTGGTTGGCAAAAGTCTCTGAAACTAAGGACATTCCTTTCACCGTACTAGAGGGCCAGAGATAGATTCTCCTATCTTTAATTTATGGCAGTATTAAGGTGTCAAGACCGGCACAGCCCGGTATTCTTTCTTAAAATTACATTGTTGGTTAAGGGCGTGTAAGTAAGCATTTCACTGTAAGGTCTACACCTGTTGTATTCGGCACATGTGACAAATACAATTTCATTTGATTTGATTTATTGGCTGCAGAGTGGGTGGAGGAGGTGAGGCCAGACAGAGTAGTCATCTGCTCTGACTCCTGTGCAGCACCGATGAGCTTAAATTCATGTGTGTCTCAGAGCAGACAGGATGTATTGTATGAGGTTTTGCAGTGTTTGTATAGGGTGAAACAGATGGGGGTATTTGTGATGTTATTCTGGGTACCAGCTCATGTGGGAGTAGAGGGGATTGAGGAAGTGGATATTATTGCCAAGCAGGCTCTTAAACATCCGAATGTTGAGATTGAATTGTCAATCAGTAAAGCAGAAGCTAAGGGATTAATAAGAACAGTGGTTAAAAATAACTGGCAAGAGTTGTGGAACAGGGAGAGTAAGGGAAGACACCTGTATAAGATCCAGGAAAAGGTGGGGGCAGGGAGGTCCTCAGGCCGAGAGAGAAGGGAGGAAAGTGTAGTCACAAGGCTGAGACTGGGACACACAAGTACATTGAAAGTGGTGAGGAAACAGCCGACTGGGAGGTGTGATCATTGTCAGGAGGAGATGGAGACAGTGGAACATGTTCTATTTCAGTGCCAGATATATGTGAGAGAAAGGGAGCGATTGTTATTAGATTTGAGGAGTAATGGGGTTGAAGAGCCAGGATTAAGTGAACTGCTGGGGAAATCTTCAGGGGATGTAGTATTTAATTATGTATTTCGTTTCCTCAGGGTAACGAGACTATTGGGTAGGATTTAGACCTTCACTGTCCCTGGTCCACACTCCAGTCCAGTTGGTGGCGGTAATGCACCTTAAAGTTGGTTGCCAACCGCCATATAAAACCCACTGAAGAAGAAGAAGAAACACGGAGAGAGCGAGGTTGCTTCCTGCCACTCGCATGTACAGAAATTAGAGATGGATTCTTCAAACAGTACCAAACAAAACAATAATCTATCTCTTAACGAAGACCCAGCTGATGAGGAAAACGAGTTTTGTCCCGGTTTCAAGGATGTGGATGCATTCGTGAAGGTAGTGAGCTGGCTGACGAACTGTATTGTGTCTGCAGCGTGTAAAACGTGGACCAGCTAGCTAACTAGCTATATGTATTGTAATGGTAGTAGTAGTAGCTACGTCAGCAAGGCTAGTTAATTATTTAACATGGATTTTAACAAAGATTAATTTATGCACAACATAAGCAATAGCTTTGTCTCGGGTGTTCAGGATGGTCACGCCAGGTTCCACTCAGTTAAACTTCCTAGCTACCTAGCTAGAGAGAATCCCCACACACAGTAATACCAAACAGAGGACGACGAAGAGGCCCAACTCGGCTTAAAATGTCTCCCTCCAGCAGGTGGAGTTGTTTCGCCCATCAAGCAAATATATTTTGTATGGAGGTCAATGAGAGAATGTCTAATTTGGTCAACAAAAAAATGAATGACTCATTTTCTACGTGAGGTTTGTTTATTTGCTCGAATAGACGTTTCGTAATGCCTAAGTTGTTACGAGTGTACTGCTGTAAGTAGGACACGTGACATCCCGGAAACATTGAATACAGGTGGTTGACATCAACAACCATCATCAAATATTCAAAAGGATTACAATGGGCCTCCTGAGTGGCATGGCGGTCTGACGCCTCTAGCACTGCATCACAGTGCTAGAGGTGTCACTACAGACCCGGGTTCGATCCCGAGCTGTATCACAACCGGCCATGATCAGGAGTCCCATATGGCGGCGAACAATTGGCCCAGCGTCGTCCGGGTTAGGGGAGGGTTTGGCCGGGGGGGCTTTACTTGCCTCATCGCATTCTAGCGTCTGCAGGCTGACCTCGGTCGTCAGGTGAATGGTGTTTCCTCCGACACATTGGTGCGGCTGGCTTCCGGGTTAAGCGGGCGGGTGTTAAGAAGCGGGTCATATTTCGGAGGACACATGACTCAACCGTCACCTCCCGAGCATGCTGGGGAGTTGTAGGGATGAGACAAGATCGAAATTGGGGATGATAATTTTTTAAAAAGGATTACAATAATGAGATGTATCCACCAATCCAAAGAATGGATACGTGTGAGCTAGACAGCCCCCCCATGCTGCTTTGTGGACAATGACTCCCAATGTTAGGGCGGAGAGACATACATCTTGTCAGTATATCCATAATCTTTGGTAATGCTAGCTAGCTGCATTATGCATAAAGGTCATTTTAACTTTGAGTAAGCCTTACCCTTTCTCTTCTATAGTATGGACTGGGCACTGTCGTAGCAGCAACCAAGGCATCTGCCAGTCTACCGCAAGTAGGGGATGAATATGACTTATATCGCAGCTTCCCAGGATTTCAAGAATTCTGTGAAACTCAAGGAGATGGACTGTTGCATTGGTGAGTAATGATTTATCATTTATGAACGCATAATGCATTGCTTTATTTCACAGGAGCTTGGTGGCACCTTAATTGGGGAGGACGGGATCATAGTAATGGCTGGAACGGAATTAATGGAATGGTATCGAACTCATGGTTTCCATTCCAGTCATTATTATGAGCCGTCCTACCCTCAGCAGCCTCCTGTACTTTATTTACATTTATAAAATGGGTGGTTCGAGCCCTGAATGCTGATTGGCTGCTCTAATTACTTTGGTAACCAGTTTATAATAGCAATAAGGCACCTCTGGGGTTTGTGGTATATGGCCAATATACCACGGAAAAGGGCTGTATCCAGGCACTCCGCGTTGCGTCGTGCATAAAAAAACTGCCCTTAGCCGTGGTCGGGCCACATATACATACTGGTAAAGTAGTGTATTGTAAACAGTTTGACATTGCTACCAAGAAAAATGGTTGGCAAAAAAGTCACTCATGAACCATCTTCCTAACATGTTTGTCTTTGTCTTCCCATGGTCAGTATGAGTCAGATAATGCAACACCATGGCTGCAGAGCTCACATGAGAGACCGCAACAAACTGACGGGGTTGGAGGAAAGATTTGACTTGGTGGTTGACTCCAATGATGTCATTCTTGAAAAAGTGGTATGTATACCAAAATGGCAGCATATTCTGAACTAATGACTTTTCTAATTCTCCATTATTTTGGGAATTATTCTGAAGTCAACACTTTTTGATTGATTTTCAGGGTATTCTGCTTGATGATGCTGCCGGAGTCAACAGGAGCCAGCAACCTGTCATGCCTGCAGGTTTTCAGCCCCCTAAGATCGTTGTGTCCAGTTGGAATCGTAAGGTGCGGAAACAAAGCTTCTTGGGACAGCGCCCACAAAATCACAAACCTGTCAGAACTATTGTCTAAACATTAGACTGTTACCATGGTTACTCCATGGATATCGGTCTGAAAGAAGTCGCTGTAAAAAAGACGCAATAATCTCTACCAGACAGAATGTTGAATACAATTATATTTAAACATACTTTACCGGTTGTCCTTTTGGCGGTAGGAAGTGTAGATAAAATGTCCACAGAAAAGTATTATTAGCCTGACTTTTTGGGGCGCTGGTGGGTATATGGCTCTGTCGGCTTGTAATTCCGGTGAGTATTTTCAATCACACGATGCACTATATGTAAACAATAGCTGAATATAACTGAACGTTGTCAACCGAAGCACGTTTCCTCGTAATCAGCTGGAATTGTTTGCCGTTCGGTCTATGGTTCGGTTAGGTTCGGCCATATTGTGCAAGTGTTTGTCTCGTTCGAATTGCGTCAGTATTGAAAATAAAAACCAGAAATGCAAATGAAATACAGACCACCATACTGAAGGTCGGGTTGATAACGCTTCCCTATGGACATTTTGTATCTGATTACCACCGTTATAGGGACAAAATCGGTGGACAACAGGTAAAGTACGTTGAAATGAAGTTTGTTCAACATTCTGACTTGTAATATGACTGTTTGGGAATGCTGAGCCTACATGTTACAGGCGAGTATGTAAGTATATAACTCTCGGATAGTAAAAGAGACTAGAATTAATTGGTACCCTGGTGAAGTTCTTAGATTTACAAAAGGTTCTCATAACGAAAAGTTAGATGTTTCTAACATGGTTTGGAGTGTGCCTCTTCTATGGTAGTATTGTTGATTGTTTTTTTTGTCTTTATTGAACAGGGGGGTGACTCTGGTTCTGGACGTAGTTCAGAGACGTTCCGACTCCTCCATGCCAAAAACGTCACCAGACCTCAGTTGAAATTCCGGGAAAAAGTCGACAATAGCAACACACCGTTTACTCCCAAGATCTTCGTCAAGCCCAATGCAATAAAACCACTTCCTTCATGTAAGTCGCGTTTGCCATAATTTCAAATAAATTCAGTTGTAACTTATTTTACAGTGCAAACACTTTCCTGGTATTTAGAAATGACACATCAGCATTTTATTACCCAATATGATCACTCTTTTGGCCTCTTAAGGGTTCATAAGATAACACAACTATGTATCATTGGGTTCCATGTAGTTGCCAAAAAGTATAAATTATTTGCTATAAAGTACCAATTAAATAAATATTGTACATGCTATAATGAAGTGCAATCAAGATGTAGGGCGGCAGGTAGCTTAGTGGGTAAGAGCGTTGTGCCAGTAACCGAAAGGTCGCTGGTTCTAATCCCCGAGCCGACTAGGTGAAAAATCTGTCGATGTGCCCTTGAGCAAGGCACTTAACCCTAATTGCTCCTGTAAGTCGCTCTGGATAAGAGCGTCTGCTAAATGACCAAAAATAATAATAAATAATAATAATAAATGTCCATTGATTCCACCTTTCCCGTTGTAGATTTTACCAACAAACACATTCGCAAAGAGAGACCAGAGGATTTGGATGTCCCTGCCGCCCTGGCTGATTTCATTCACCAGCAGAGAACTCAGGAGCATGTAGAAGACATGTAAGACATTCTGAGTCAGTGTACTCTCTTGTTCCAAGGTTGAAATGTGATAACTTTCCATCTGACATTGCTATACATTTCCCTCCATAGGTTTGCTCACCCATACCAATACGAACTGGATCACCTTGCGTTACCCGAGAATCTGCTGTCCAAGCCTGAACCCCAGGTAAATTGTTTGGTTAACACTTTATTTGAAGTATAGTGTCATAAGGGGCCAGCTTCATGAGATGGAATGCGTTTCAATTAACAGGTGTGCCTTCTTAAAAGTAATTTGTTGAATTTATTTCCTTCTTAATGCATTTGAGCCAATTAGTTGTGTTGTGACAAGGAAGGGGAGGGGAGTAAACAGAGGATAGCCCTATTTGGTAAAAGACCAAGTCCATATTATGGCAAGAACAGGTCAAATAAGCAAAGAGACAGTCCATCATTACTTTAAGACATGAAGGTCAGTCAATACGGAACATTTCAAGAACTTTGAAAGTTTCTTCAAGTGCAGTCGCAAAAACCTTCAAGCGCTATGATGAAACTGGCTCATGAGGACCGCCACAGGAATGGAAGATCCATAGTTACCTCTGCTGCAGAGGATAAGTTCATTTGAGTTACCAGCCTCAAAAATCGCAGCCAACATCAACTGCTCAGAAGAGACTGTGTGAATCAGGCCTTCATGGTCGAATTGCTGCAAGAAACCACTACTAAAGGACACTAATAATAATAAGAAGAGACTTGCTTAGGCCAAGAAACACGAGCAATGGACATTAGACCGGTGGAAATGTGTGTCCAAATTTGAGATTTTTGGTTCCAACCGCCGTGTCTTTGTGAGAGGCAGTGTGGGTGAATGGATGATCACTGCATGTGTATTTCCCGCCGTAAAGCATGGAGGAGGTGGTGTCATGGTGTGGGGGTGCTTTGCTGGTGACACTGTCTGTGATTTATTTAGAATTCAAGGCGCACTTAACCAGCATGGCTACCACAGCAGTCTGCAGCAATACGCCATCCCATCTGGTTTGGGCTTAGTGGGACTATCATTTGTTTTTCAACAGGACAATGACCCAACACACCTCCAGGCTGTGTAAGTGCTATTTTACCAAGAAGGAGAGCGATGGAGTGCTGCATCAGATGACCTGGCCTCCACAATCCCCCGACCTCAACCCAATTGAGATGGTTTGGGATGAGTCGGACGGCAGAGTGAAGGAAAAGCAGCCAACAAGTGCTCAGCATATGTGGGAACTCCTTCAAGACTGTTGGAAAAGCATTCCAGGTGAAGCTGGTTAAGAGAATGCCAAGAGTGTACAAAGCTGTCATCAAGGCAAAGGGTGTCAATATGAAGAATCTCAAATATAAAATATATTTTGATTTGTTTAACACTTTATTTGGTTACTACATGATTCCATATGTGTTATTTCATAGTTTTGATGTCGTCTTCACTATTATTCTACAATGTAGAAAATTGTATAAATAAAGAAAAACCCTTGAATGAATAGGTGTGTCCAAACTTTTGACTGGTACTGTATATAGAAAATAATAGAAAGTCTGGGCGCTTGTTGCAGATTACAATAATATATTCAGCAAAACCTGCAACATTGGGCTACTTTACTACAAACAAAAATGTGCAATATCATGCCTGAGACCTTATATCATGCCCATCCGGTGTCACTTTTACTTTTGACTAGCTAAATACACTTTATGACACGGTCATTAACCATTTTGACCATGACGCCTGACACCATGTTGACCTTGACATTGTTGAATATCTTTATTGAAAGCTGATATTAGTCAAGTTGGCCAAATGTGTTTTTTTGTCTTTGTGTGATACATTTTGTCAATTGATGCTAGACTACATTTTCTGTGTTTTGATTTGTCAGATGTACAAACCACTTGCTGAGACAAAGTGCTCATTCATTGACAATCTGGAGGATCTGGTGGCAGTAAACGAGAAACTGACCAAGACGTCAGAGTTTGCAGTAGATCTGGAGGTATAATAAAGGTTTTTACACATGTTCCTCTGCCTGAGACAATTAAATTGTACCTCAAATAACTAAGCATTAAAGATGGGGTAAATGAACGCTTGCTAGCTTTAGCCTTTTGTGACCTCATCTGTCCTACCCAGCCAGGATTTTCTGTTGAATCATGTGTATCTTCTCTCTTAGCACCACTCCTACAGAAGTTTCTTGGGCATCACCTGCCTGATGCAGATTTCAACACGGGATGAAGACTTCATTATAGACACCTTGGAGCTGCGTAGTGAGCTGTACATACTCAATGAGGCTTTCACAGATCCCGCCATCGTCAAGGTCATTGCCTGGTTGTCTAGGCACATTTTGGATTTAACAGCACAATGCCCAATAATGGCAATGGTAGCAGGCTTAGCATTTCAGTTTACAGAAACTTTGGTATAGCCTAGAATTTGAGTCACTAATGTAGGTTTATATGTCTTCCGCAGGTTTTCCATGGTGCCGACTCTGATATTGAGTGGCTGCAAAAGGATTTGGGCCTTTACATTGTCAACATGTTTGACACCCACCAGGCGTCCCGTACCCTTAATCAGGGCAGGCACTCGCTTGACCACTTGCTAAAGCTGTTCTGCAACGTGGACTCTGACAAACGCTACCAACTGGCAGACTGGAGAATACGGTAATGCTAACCCTCTGTTATACACTTAATATGTACTAAATCGTTTTCACTTAAAGCTTTTCATGTTGGCCTGGGAGCAAAATATGATTTGATTGAATGGCTTTTGATTTTCCTTAGGCCTTTGCCAGACGAGATGTTTCAGTATGCCCGCGCAGATACCCACTACCTCCTCTATGTCTACGATCGGCTGAGGGTAGACTTGTGGGAAGTGGGCAACGGGCAGCCTGCCCTGCTGCAGATGGTCTGGCACAAAAGCAAAGACATCTCACTGAAGGTGCGCCTCCCGAGCTGAATAGCGCAACTGAATATTACCGCACCATCTAGGCCTAATTCCCTTGTTAACTTGTTCAGACACTCACAACGAAAACCCCTCTGTGCAGAAATACATGAAGCCGCTCTTCACCGAGGACTCCTACATGGACCTGCTGAGGAAGCAGAAGAAGGCGTTCAACACGCAGCAGCTAGCTGCCTTCCGACTGCTGTACGGCTGGAGGGACAAGCTGGCCAGACAGGAGGATGAGAGCACTGGGTACGGAGGGTCTTGCATATGGACGCATTTGCTGTTTGTTCGCTTAGGATCCTCATATTCGAGTATTTGGTGTGGATTGTGAAGTTGGTCGATGAAAGCCAGCTCTGTACTGTCTGCTACATACACCTGTTTTTAGATCTGCTACCCTCTTTCCCCAATAAGCACCTCTCACACTGCTTGAGATGTCAAATCACCTGATTTGTCTCAAACTGAGATAGAAATAATGAAAATGACAAGGGTTTTTGTTAAGTATATGACTTTTATTTAAACTTGCTTGCCATGTGTTTCAGGTATGTCCTGCCCAATCATATGATGATTAAGATCTCTGACATCCTGCCCAAGTAAGTTGAGAGACTTACCAAAAACACACAAGCGTGCACACACACACAAACATGAATACAATGTTAAACAATCCCCATCTGTTCTTTTTTTTCTACCAGAGAGCCTCAAGGCATCATCGCTTGCTGTAACCCTGTCCCCCCATTGGTGCGGCAGCAGGTCAATGAGCTCCACCTATTGGTGCAGCAGGCCAGGGAGATGCCCCTTCTCAAGGTGAGACATGCCTGGGGGCAGTATTGATTGTTTACTACATTTAACCTCAATCAACTAACTGAATCAATTGAATAGTACCTATTTTCAATGATGTTGGGTGTTTTGATGCTGTTATAGTGTCAAATCAGTAACTAGTGAGTAAAGAAAAGTACTGCGTTGTATACGATGGATTTCACTTTAAGCAATGTTTTCCGTGTGTGTATATAGGCTGAAATTGTGGCTGACAAGAAGAAAGCACTCACGCCCATAAAAAAGGTTTGTAAAACGAATTAATTGATACCAAATCCGCTTGGTTACACAGTTTCACAGGTCATTTATTAGCAAAACTGCCTGTAGCTGATGTGTCATGCATTGGTTGTTTTTGCAGCCAGAAATTCCCCTATTTGGTCCTCATGATACATCCAGAGTCTCTGAAAGTGATTCCCCTAGCTTTACCCCAAAAGGTAAGATATCTTAAGTCCATTGTTAACAGTAATGCTGTTGTCCTTGGCTATAGTCAATTAAACAAATGAAAATGTACTTTCAGAACTTTCAACTAAAAAGGGGGCACTCTTTTCTGACGAGGAGCAGGGAGAGGAGGTTGACATCAATAAAATGATGGGTCTAGTAGCTTCAGCTAAAATCACATTGTTTGAGGTAAGAACTATCTGATATCTGGTTGTTTTGGCTCATGAATGAATGGTACACTACAGTACACCTCTCTCAGATTTGTTTTCTGTTATAAGACTGTTTGAAATGTGACTAATGATGTCGGTTGGTGACTCGTGTGTTTTGTGCTTTTTTGAAGGAGAAGGACACAGTCAAAGATCCAGGTCACCACACAGTGGCTCAACAGAAAGCATGCAGGGTTGTCGAGTCTTTTCAGAACCCTTTCCGAATGGTAATATGCATTGACCTGGTAATGCTTGGTAAACCAATGATGTGTTTGTTTGTTTTTGTGTTGCTATAATGTATCCTCTTGTTTTTAGTATCTACCGTCAAACGACATCCATATCTCCCAAAATGCTAAGTTCGACCCCTCTACGAAAATATATGAGGTATTTAATTAATTGATATTTGTACAAAAAAATGATTGTGGCAGAAATGATGCCACTGAAGTCTGATCTCGAAGATGGTCAGTATTATCTTGAACTGTCGAACTTCATTTGTCCTGCTTGTGTTATATTATCCACTACGTTTCAACAGATCAGTAATAGATGGAAGCTGCAGAGTGTGGAACAGCAGCAGAAGGAGGTAGAGGCCAAAAAGAAAGTGAAGGAAGAGGCAAAGGCAGTAGCAGGTGTGGTGTACTTTACTTGATTCAAATGAACCTTCTTATATTATTTCAAACCATCCTTTGTAAATATTGTGATATTTCTTGTCCTACAGAGGAAAGGAAGAAGGCCAAGCAGAGCTACCAGGAATCACTTCAGAATGTTGCGACTGTGCGTCAGCAAGCTTCAGTGAGTCGTTTTACACATTTCTTCAGAGCTATTAGAAAACATTTTCAATTCTGTGCAAGCAAGTTATCTCATTACATTCAATTAATCGCATCTTTTTGACAGTACATTTTGTTTACATTTCCATCAGGAATCTATAAAACCAGGAGGAAAGAAAAGGGAGAGGGTTGCCAGTGAGACAGGAGAGTCGACCCCAAAACCTAACAAGAAACTCATGAAAGCTGCTGAGAAGCAAAATGAGGAGGACTCTACACCACCTCTAGTTTTCAAACCCTATGACTACAGCCAATCAGATTTCAAAGTCTTTACTGGTACGCATCCCCATGTATTTGTTTATGTTCTATCTGACTTTGGTCATGACATTTGTAGTTGGATGATGAGATTATTTTGCATCTCCACACATGATCTTCCTTTCTCATTGTATGTGGTGAAATAAATAATTTTGTGATGTTCTAGGGGCCAAAGGAAAAGATGGTAAACAGTTTGATCCAGACAGACAAGGCCATGAACCCAGGAAAAAGGTATTATTAACAAATATATAATTATTACATTTGTGGAATTTGTTGTTGTTGTTGATTTAAAGGTAGCAACGAACAGCACCGAAGATATTGACATGAACGCGATGAACATTATCACACAGAGTATCGGCGCATGTACACGGGTGCACTTCACGCTATTACGTGGTTGCTACGGGACCAAAACAACAGAAGTTTAGCATTCAACGTTCTGTTATTGTGGAAATTGACACGCTGTGTGTACGTCGTGCATTCAATGTCATCTTGCTGAGTCTACCTTTAAGGCTGGCAAGATAATTACCAAAAAAGTAACAGTTCCCATGGCTATTGTAATATCAAGTGAACATTCCTTTTTGTTTCTGTAGAAAAATGCGAAAGCACAAAAATCAAATGCCTGTGCTGGAAACCGAAGTATGGCCTTTTTTGGTGGAAAATCCGAAAGGTAACAAGATTCATGCTTGCTGTTTTGGAGACACGTCACGCTTGCTCGCAAAGAGATTTGCGGTGGCTAATTAACAATACATAAGTTCATTGTTTCGCCTCAGTTAGGCAAGGTGCTTAGCTAGCCACCTAAAATTGTTTACAGTTAGCAATCTCTTCTACACTATTTTGCTAGCTAGAAAAATGGCAGGTGTCTCCAGTTTACATTTTACCATTGTGATGCTCATCCATGCATATCCACTTTCTATGCCTATCACAGTTCCCGTTTTGATTGTTCCACTAATATCACTGTGTTGGTTTTCTTTATTCATCTTGCAGAGGAGTCCGTCGTAACTGGCCTAAAAGATAGGTCTACCCATCAATGAACTTTTCTTCTCTTCTCCTCAAAAAGGAAACATGTTTTAAAATTTGATTTTTTTGTCTGTGGATCTATTTACCCTATGTAAATACAATGGTGCACAAAATATTTTTTTCCTGTAACAAATAAGTATTTGCAACCTGCTTATTAAAATAGTTTTAAAGATAATTTGTCTTATTTATTTTATTTGTTGATGGAATCCTTACAGAATGTGCTTGCAAAACATTCAGACTTTCAGGTACATTTTTAGACACACTTGTAGCTATAGCTCACAGTTATTGGCTGCCACTCATTAAAAGAGGAACTGGTCAAAAGCATGCAGACTTTGGGAATTATCTTTTTGAAGACATTTGCAGAGTACCTTTTCCAATATTAGTTTTGTAAATGAACAGCAACCAGTGACTGTTGTCTAATGTGCAAAAAGTACTTTACCTGATTTGTCTGATGGGCAACAAGTTCTAGTTTACCTGGCTGAAAGTAATGTTTGAGAGGGGAGAGCCAAAGAACAGGAGGGGAGGAAATCCCCATTATTACACTGACTGTGTGTTGCTCTGAAAAAGTGTACGAATGTCTGTTGACTGATACTATCTTGGAAAGGCAGAAAAAAATGTTCTAACCAACTATAACTTAACTAAAATGATTTTTCATTTATTGACTAAAACGACACGAGACAAAATGATCTCTGTGACTAAAATCTGACTACCTACTGCATGGTTCTGAAACTGGGGCGAGGGGTCGGCAGGAGGGCGCTTTTTTGTTGTTTTTTAACAGAACTAAGTGTCTGTGCTGCTAATATTCATTGCACGTATCACTGAAAAGCTCGCAATCTCTCCAAAAACTCTTGTCCAGTCCACTAGTTCAGGTGTTCCTAAACTTTTTCACTCAGGCCTCCCGAGTGGCGCAGCGGTCGAAGGCACTGCATCTCAGTGCTTGAGGCGTCACGACAGACCAGGCTGTATCACAACCAGCCTTGATTGGGAGTCCCATAGGGCAGCGCACAATTAGGGCAGCGCACAATTGGCCCAGCGTCGTCCGGGTTTGGCCGGTGTAGGCCGTCATTGTTAATAAGAATTTGTTTTTAACTGACTTGCCTAGTTAAATAAATAAAAAAGTGCCCCCATTCCAGCATTGGCAAACACCCACATTTTCACCATTAATAAAGCATTCCATACATCTATCGTTGCATTTGCAGACTTATGTAAGAGAGCCTACTATTCCTAATGTGATGAATAGATTGTATAGTCATAATTTAGGCTAATAATATAACTCAATCAATGTTCGCAAAAAAGACTGCAGTGTTCAATGCATGGCTGAGCATGTAGTGGCGTAGAGTAAGCCTAGGCTATATCAGATATGTTCTTTCTTTTTGTGTTTGTAAAACAAATTTCATACAATTCCACAATGTCTGGAGACATTAGCAGAATATTTTTTAATGCGACAAAAATTACAGGGTAGTATAGTTCTATAGTCTAATGCTGACACTGACAAACAGATCAATAAAAACAACCTTGTCTGCAAGCATTTCATCTAGGCCTATGGAAAGGGGATACACAAATTGTACAATATGAAGTCCATCAAACCTGGAAGAGGAATTTATCCAAAAACAACATTTCCAGTGCCATTGACCCAATGATTGAGTGAATATGCACATAGTGCACTCATGGGGGATATGGAAGATGCTCTCCGCTGGTGCCAATAAGATAGGCTACTGTCGTATCGGGTGAATGCTGGCAATTATTGCTGATGAACAAAGAGTCCGCTTAGGCTGCACCGTGATTAGAGGCTTTTATTAATATCACACGGTTACAGCATAAGTTACAGACCCGCGGTGTCTGGAGAAGCCCCGTCCCAAATTAATCTGAATGCTTCTGACTCTTCTTCGTTTTTCCCCCAGTATATATAATCTCCCCAAGATGTGGGTGGCTCCCTCTACTGTCCAATCCCCTGTCTACAACACACTTCCTGTCTGTTGTATGTGGCGTTACACTAAAACATTCCCTCTTGATACTAAAATCAACGTCCTCTCCGGTTCCACTTAAAACATTAACAACGTCATAATCTTCATATACGATACTACTGTTCGCTCAAATTGAGAATTTTGATAAGTAAAAGACAGATTTGTCTTACTGTCTTGTCATTACACCAATAGCTATTTTCTTTCCAAACTGTTTTCCCACGATGAAGTTGGGGGTAAAGGAGGGAAACTATTGTCTATTAGTTTACAATTCTAAACTTGGCAAACGGGGAATGAGAACAATGTCAGATTAGGAACATGGCATTTTCTCACCCTCGGTTCGTAGGCCTGCTCCTGCTAATGTCAAACATGTAGGCTTACTAGCCCATGTTAGAAATTGCGTAATTCAAATCTGGTATTGGAATAAGAGAAAACATAATCAAGAGATATTCAATCCAAGCTAAATGTATTATATGCAAAATGTATGTATGATAAGTATGATGGTTCGTATACGGGCTCACTGAAATACCACGCAGGGCAGACAGAGAATATTTCATAAATTTTGGTTATCCCAAGTGTTCATTAAGTCCTCATGACATTCATTCTCATAAGAAATCATATATACCCCAAACTCAGCCAAAACCTAAAAAACTCCATAAAATTCACTGTGCGTGCTCCTCTAAGACCTATCACCCTTGACCTGCTGAAAAAACCCCAAAATTGAAACAACAAGGCTTTATAAACATCATACTAGGTGTGTTGTTTTTTGTTTGAAAAACCCAATTTGAAAAACAACAACCACAAATAGCCAGGCCTCACTTGATTTGGTAGCTCACTTTTATGACCTAAATACTGCCTAACTTCACTACTGCTCCCCCTAGCCCTGGGCAACATTCCAATGAGATGAGCTAATCTCTTTCTCCTGGTTATAATCTAAAGATGGTAGTACACACAACATGATACAGATATCCCCAGTCCTAACCCATCAATAATTGTTTGTATCAATCTAATTCCTCATAACTAATCCATAAAACCACTCAAAATTCCTCGAGTATACAATGATTATTTAATTGATTACCCTAACTCAGCTACATGTGATCTCATCTCAAATGATCCATTATCAATTATTTGTTCAACCCCCTAGGAAAAACTGTCTCCCCTTCTATTGTTCCTGTCCCCCCTGTAAATGTCACACTTCACTTTTTAGCCAATAAAATCATGGTTACATCAAAAGTAACACCAGTTAATGGTATTTTCTCCCTAATATTTCATACTCTTCTTCTTTCCCTAAATGAGATTTAATCCCTTGCCTTTCCTCTTCTATCCTTCTATCATTACTGGATCAATGATAATAACTGTAATAACTATCAATAATAATTGTAATAACTATTACACATTATGTTGTGCCCTTTTTCTGATAATGTTATAATTGTAGCCTATTCCATCACTTTAGTTTAAAATATGTTTGTTTATGTAACAAATCCAGAACCCACCACAGGCTGGCGCTATTCCCCCAGCACAACAGCCAATGCCACTTGCATCCCCTGTTCCCCGTAACGAAAATAAATTATAGTTCAAAAATTTACCAACTATTTGTATACACCACTGCTGTCAAGCAACCCATCGAATAAAGTAATAACAATTAGAATTTATCAAAGCACTGTCTTCCAGTCAAGCATTCAGACCTCCACTTGAAATCCCACAGCTCCACCCAACTCGCTTGACTGTCTCTATTATTATTTTTATTTTTTCTCCCGCTAACCAGAGCCATAAATTACTCTCCTTTGTCCTCAACTCAATTTTCACAGCTCTATCGCCATTTTCAGTTCGCTAGTCAATTTCTTTAACTGTTCTTAATTAGGGCCTACCTAATTAATAAAACAAATACTTGCTATCGTTGATAAGCATACATTTAATGATATTCCTAACATTTGAACTATCTCTCACCCCTCCCCTTGCTCCTTTCTATCCAACGGGGAAGGGGCGGGGACCTAGTAACATATTTTCATAGACCTTTCTAGAATACTTCTACTTAAGCTATCTAATTCAACCTTTCACATTTCTCAATCCACGTATTAATCTAGGTCTATAGCCCCAATGCGAAAGCTTTACCTACTGTCCCTACCTGTGTTCGAACCAGGGACCCTCTCCATACATTGCCAGTCACCCCACACATTCCGCGATGCTTTCAAAGTAAATACTCCAGTTCATAGAGCAAGTGACGTCACCAAATGAAAATCGCACTAGCTTTCACCTCAGCAAAAAACTCTCTCTCCCTTCACCCATACCAGCCGCCGAATTCACTCATACACACAGATTTCACCTTATGCCATTGAAATGCCAAACAAAACATAATAGTTCAATGGAGTACTGGCTCTCCAATATTTATACATGACTTCCATAACCACACCAGTCATAGTCCGATCACCCATCAAACCTTATCACATGATCAAACAACGGCACTACCTTAAACTCATATGGGGCGGCAGGCAGCTTAGTGACCAATAGTGCCGCGCCAACAACCGAGAGGTCGCCGGTTCCAATCCCCGAGCCGACCAGGCGAAAAATCTGCCGATGTGCCCTCAAGCAAGGCACTCAACCCCAATTGCTCCTGCAAGTCGCTCTGGACAAGAGCGTCTGCCAAATGACCAAAAATGCAAATGTAAATATTCTCTACTTTCTCACCCATGATGTACGTCTACGTTCGGGTGAGCAAGTTCATACGTATATATCGTCAGAAATGTATAGGTACCTCTCAAACAATCGCACCGTGGTGTTCCCAGCCAACTACCAATCGACACAAATCACCCCCCTTTTCTCTCCTGACTCTTCAAAAGCCACACTCTCGCTGTCTCCAGCCCCTCCCCTCGCGGCTCTCCCTTCTGTGTCCAGTGGGAACAGGCTTTGTCTGCTTTTCGTTTTAGCGTTTCCAATATTCTGCCGTTATTTAAAGTACTTTAGTCTATTTATTTAAATCAAATTATTCCCACCTCATTAGTTAAAGTTGGTGCATATTTATATTTCAACGATAAACCAAATTATTTCAGTCTAATTATTTAACCAGTATTTTGCAGGGTCAAACATCAAACGTTAAATCAAATAATAAACCAAATAGCCTCAACCCAAGCACCTAAAACCAGTATTATGCTATGTCGAACATCAAACATTAAATCAAATAATAAACCGAATTGCTTCAACACAACTATTCAAAACC